TTTTTAAAGCACATTTCCAACAATCAGAGACTGCAGAAAGTGCTGTACACAGACAAGCAGTAAAAATAAAATGATAAGACACTGAGAGCCTTCCAGTAGACCCTAATATTACTTAACTGTAAAATCAATTAAAAGCAAGGGTAAAAAGGTAGGTTTTTAAAAGAGGCTTAAAAGCAGAAAGGCTGTTAGCAGACCTAATCGGTAGGGGAAGGCTGTTCCAGAGCTTGGGAGTGGCCACAGAAAAGGCTCTGTCGCCTCTGGATTTCAGCCTAGACTTGGGAACAGACAATAGATGTAGAGAGGATGATCGGAGGTTTCGTTTGGGGACACGAGTTTTTAACAGTTCTGACAGATAAGGAGGGGCCAAATTGTGTTGTGCCTTAAAACAGATCAGTAGCACTTTAAATTGAATCCTGTAAGCAGGGGTGGACTGGGACCAAAATTCAGCCCTGGCATTTTTACGAATCGTCGGCCCTCCCCATTGGGAGAGCGGTGGGGGTGGGGGGTGTTGCTGCCCGCGGACTTGTCTCTAGGCCGAATGTGAGATCTAATATGGACTGGGACTGTTAAATTACAAGCAGGGCCAAACCGCTGCGACCAGGAGTCCTGGCCTTCCAGATCAGCTCATTCTCCACGGGCGGAGATCAGAGACATTAGCTACATGCTAACGCGGTAAAACAACTCCTACGTCATCGCTCTACTCAAAAACTCTGTTAGCTTCAGGCTACCATGTAGCTAATGTTCTGCAGATCACCAACTGTGGAGTAGTGTCTGCCCAAGCTGGGCAAGCAGCCCACTTGGCAAAACGGCCCAACGGGACACTGCCAGAATGCTAGATAGGCCAGTCCACCCCTGCCTGTAATGGGCCATTCCCATCTGTACCGGGTCGGCCCGGGCCGGGTAGCGTAGTTTGTTTACATATCTGGGTGGCCTGGTATTTTTCCCGGCCAACCAAGGCTCATTCTCAGCCCTCTCCTCGAGGGGGTCTGCTTCAGGCCGACCAGGGCCAACACACCCACTGCTGACAGCAAATTCACACCTTCCATTAGAGCAAGCCTTTGATTGGTGGGTAGAATCAGCCCACATGGGCTTAAGGCAAGGATGTGTGGAATCAACCGGGCCAGGCTGGGGCCGACTGGGGCTACCCGGCCCGGGCCGACCCGGTACAGATGGGAATGGCCCATTAGTGATCGGGAGCCAGTAAATAGCTTGTAAGACGGGTGTTATGTGATCCCTGCGCCTCCTACCTGTCAGCAAGCGGGCTGCCGCATTTTGAGCCACCTGCAGGTCGGTTCTGCAGAAGAGGAACTTGCCCCACAGCATCCAGATAAGGCTGCAGACTCTGGCCCTAGTTCCGGCAACTGGTTTTTGACTGGCTTAAAGCTTTTTAGTGATGTTTTTAGTTAGCTATTTTCTGAATAAACCCTAGTGTGGTGGCTAACCGACTGATTTCTTTGGTTTTTAGCAGTCGCTCTCAACTTTAACTGCATGGTGTAACCTCTGGGTGGAGTTTCATATTTACATATTGTCGTTCTTTTTTAAAACACAGAAAGGGTTTTGTTACCTGTTTTTGACAATACATTTGGCCGACGGCTGCCGGCTTCTTCAGGCTGACGCTGATGGTGGTAGAAATAACGCACAGCAAGAACACACCTAAGAGGAATTGCATATTCTTTGGTCATTTACTGTAGCCTACCTACCCAGTAGTAAGGTGCCACATATGTTCTCTTTCTGTGGGCTTTTTTCATCTGTTCTCCACCATACGGGTAACTTATGGTTGTAAAAAAACTGAGCGTACTTGATCAGCATATCTGATGTTTTTCTCAAGCAGGATACTTTGGTAGTCTACTCGGAGAAACAAATGCAACAACGTTTCATTGGAATTATACATTTGACCATTCTTGTAATTCTGCAGCGTGTCTGTAGTTTTTGTAAAATAATAAAAAAATGGTTCTGATGTAAAATATTTAAAAAGAAGGACATTTTAGCTCAGACACACCGTTTACCTTTGATCACAAAAGTAACGAAAAAGTCACTGATAGATCTTTGTGTGTTTCAAATTGTAGTAAAGTCTGATTTTAAGGAACATTTAAATATATATTTTCCTTATTCTGCATAGAAACAAAGAAGGGAATGATTCTATAATAGTCCAAAAACATATTTTTACATTTTGATTACACTTTGTTTCACTACTTAAAACTATTTCTTTAATTAAATCACCTGCACTTTACAACTGATTAAAATATGCTAACAAATGTCTTGATAACCTCTGAATTTTACTTGCGTTGTATAAAAAAATTTAAAAAGAAAGATTTGTTGGTCACCTCTATGTTTGCAGTCCGAGATAAATAAATACAAGATTAAAAGTTGTTTGTATTTTTTGTTGTTTGTTGTTGTTTGTTGTTTGTATGTTTTGCTGTTGCTGTGTGTAAACGGGCTTCTACTGAAACCTATTAACAATTAATAGCGTGTGTGAGCTGGAGCATGCCATGCAACAGGTTCTCGTTGCATCACAGCAGCTCTGTGTGAGTTTGTGTGACCACCAGAGTTGCTACAGTAGGACAGCACGGGGCTTTAAGGAGAGGAAAGGCCTTCAGGCTAATTTAAGGGAACAATTTAACAAAGCGGGATCTGTATACAGCTGGGTCACGTCAAAGGAAAATAATCAATTCCAACTTTTTAAATATTTTCTATAACACCCCATCAGGTTCTTTTCTCATATTCATTATTTTGATTTTATTGTTTTCACTGATTATTCTGTCTCCATATCAGCCCGTGATATCCTCAACCTCCACCCTCTCCCCATCCCATCTCTCCCCGAGACAGCAGATGGAAACTATGGCCCAGTTCTGTCTTTTGTTTCTGGTCCCCAGAGGGACCTTTTGGACAGCACACAAGTCGGCTCCCCATATCTCATACAAAATGCCAGTGCACCTTTTATTAAAATAGCTGAGGAATTTGCTATATACTCAATAAGCTTAAGTGGAAATGAAGGAGATGTGTGCATTTAAATGTATTGAATGCACACTTGAGCAGTTTGTGCAGCAATGAGTCCCCATGAAGTTTGGAAGTCTTGTTGCATCTTTTGTTTTGTTTGCACGTGCGTGCAGTTACTTTTAATTCCACGTCTTGCAGCTTCATGATGTTGAATTTTGCAATAAGAGTGTGAGTGCGTTTTTCGGAAAAGTTAGAAAAAGTTGCGTCATTTATGATAAAAATCAAACAAACGTATGTAAACTGTCACGAGACGAAACCAAAACAACAACAGCAGTAAGGGAGCAGCGGCTCGACATGACTCCGAGGTTTTTTCTTACAACACGCGTCAGTGCGTCTCGGGTTCTCCCCGCTCCGCCACTCTATAGTATTTTTCATAACGTCTATGCGTAAATATTTAATGCGCGTGCAACAGTGGAACTTCAACCTGTCCAGGGTCCCACCTGTTGACGATAAACAACCGCATCTTCCACTTTCTGACCGCAGCTGTAGAGCCTCAGCAAGATGAGACAAACCAAAACGCAAATTTGAGGAAATTTAGAAAAAAAAGTCGAAATGCAAATAAAGAGTGATAAAAATCTCACCTGAATCATCACGTCACGCTCAGAATATTATTTGGAAATTGTGACTTATTGTTTTGCGGTGAACCATCAATTTGACGCATTTCTTTAGTGCACCAGTTTGCACGCATGCTTACAGATAAAAAAACAAATCCCCAAAGCCTTTTTGTATATTGTTTTCAGCGCACCATCCCAACGGTCATGCGCACATTTCCAGTTGACTGTCCCTTAAATGTTTAGGGAAACTTGATCGTTCACCGCAAAACGAACTCGGTGCGGGTGACCGTCTGATCCGACTGTAAGCTACAGCATACAAGGTGTTAATAATTCAGCAAGGCCTCAGTTTTTTATTCCACCCCCCCCCCCCCCCCCCCCCCACACACACACACACACACCCACACCTTCACCCCCACCCCCCTTTTTTCCAGGAGGCGAGCAAAGGGGCATGCGCTGTGATTGGCTGCTGGTTGGGGTGGGGGATGGTGTAGTTGTAGCAAACAGGTTGTTTTTCTTTCATAAACACTTTCAGACAATTTAAGAGTTATTTATGTTAATAAGAGAAAATATAAGAAAAAAACATTCAGCTTGAGGCGCGCGCGCGCATGCGTGAGTGTGTGCGTATGTGTAGGCTTTTTTTTTTAGTTAAGAAAAGTGTGTTCCCTCTCGAGTCAGGTCCTTGGGGACGCGGCGGGGACCCGCGAGCGCTCACCAGCTGACAGCTCGTGCTCCTCTGAGGCCATCCAACACCTCAGCCCACGAGCCAGTTAACAATAGGCTGAAATTAATGCACGCTCCCCGTTAACAAATCTGCAAAGGAGCGAATGGACGACATGGCATAAACTCAGGGAAAACTTACAAAGAAAACAACCTAAATATACGCAATAAATATCACGTAAATCACAAGGTTTTTTAATCAGATATTTGTAAAAACCTAAATAAATAAAAACTAACTTTTCAGGTTGTGATGAAATTAACACGAAACAGCCTTCACAAACAAGGGTTCTTCCACCCAGAAAAACAAAAGTTACATGTTGCTCGTGCTGTTTTTGGTTGCAGGTGCCTCCTAATATTATTTTACTCATTTTAAATATATATAAAAAGTTATTTGATGACTAAAAAGATAGATTTCAAATAGAAGAATTTCAGCACTGAAATGGGATGGATTTTTTAAAAAGATGTGCCATTTGTTTTGTGCTCGTTTGTGTTACCAAGAACAATAAGAATCCTTATTTCCTTGCAACAAATTTGCAAATTTTATCTCAATTTTAAATGCTAGAAAATAAAGAAAGAAATTAACAAATCACATTATATTATTATTATTATTATTATTATTATTATTATTATTATTGATATATGAAATAAATCATTAACTGAAAAAGTTGATATTTGTCGTTTGTTTAAGCTTAAAATAAACGATTTTATTTCCAAAGTCAAAATAACAAAGAATGGCAAGTCTTTCTTTATTTCACCAACTTCAGCTAGTTCAAAACAAACAAACAAACAAACAAACAAACAAACAAACAGAAGAATCGGTAATAAATACATCTCATATTAATCTCCGGGGGGGTACAAAAGCACAAATGATGATACTAATAAAAACATGTATAAAAAAGACAGAAAAAGGCAGCTTGATGGCTACATTATAGGCTATTTTAAGGGGTTGGCAGTACTACACTACATCAAACAGAATAAAACGTAGGGTTTTCGGGGGTTGGGGTCAAAAATTCCGAAGCCTCTGGCCCGAAGACTGTAAAGTGCACATCATAAACTTTAGAAGTCACAAAATGAAAATAATTACACAGCGAAATGATCAAATAAAACACAACAAAACTGAAACCACAGCTACAAAAAAATTTTCTTTCATCAAATACGGTGACAGAGAGTTATCCGTGACGCTCAGCGGAAGACAGCTTTTTGGTTGGAGTGACGTGGGAAATGCCCGTGGCGGTGCGATGCGCGACATGGCAGAGGGGTCTTCTGCCCACGTCTCTATAGCATTATTATTTGTTGGCTGAACCGAATTATCTCACAGAAAATAGGATGCACCAAGTTGAAACAATTATTGCTTTAGAAGAATTAACTTTTTTCTTTTGGGAAAACAAAAAAATCTTCCTAAAATTCCAGAACTGTAGGAATGATTGACACAATTTAAGGAAATTATGCTGCAGTGAACCTTATTGAAGTCTTTATGTTTTAAAAGGAAACGGCGTGGTGACGGTGGCTGGGAAGCTTGAGTTCTGAAAGATCATCGTCTTCACTTGAGTGAAGCTCCAATGCGATTTCATCCGAGTCACTGAAGTGGGAATGCGGGGAAAACTCCCCGTCGCTCCTGGGAGACGCTTTCCTCCCATTCCCAAACTGAGCGGCAGCAGGAGAGCGCGTCTCCTCTTCCCCTGCAGCGGAGAACTGAGTCTCCTGGAGGGACGACCGGAACGGGACCCCGCTGATGTGGACAGAGACTCCCGCCGCTGTCCTACAGGTGCTTGGAGACTGGGAATCCCTCTCCTTCACCCCCTCAAACCCATCATCAGGCGAGAGCATGATGTCACACTTCAGTGCGCTGCTGCTGCTGGAGCTTTCGCTGTTGCAGGTGTTGGCGGAGACCGGACCTTGGAGCAGCTCGGCGAGCGCGTTGATGTAAATTTGCGCCATCTGCAGAGTTTCATACTTAGAGAGCTTCTTGTCGTTGTCAAAGGCGGGGATGACGCTGCGCAGTTCATCAAACGCGTGGTTAAGCCCGTGCATGCGCCTCCTCTCGCGCGCGTTGGCGGCCACCCGCCTCTGCCTCTGGACGCCGTTGACCGGTTTGCTGGACGGGGCTCTGTGTCTCATGGGAGCCTCTCCTTCCGGGCCCGTGAGGGTGCCTTTGAGGCGACACAGGTCTCTGACTTTGAGCGAGCCAGAGGAGGAGCTCTTGGCGGATCTTCTATGGCTGGGGGGGCTGGGAAGTCCCGAGGACCCCGGGGACGCACTCTCTGGAACAAAAAGTGAAAATCACATGAAGTTTGACAATAATTAGGAACATGTCTTTGTTTGCTAATTGTCATACAAACGCTCTTCTTAAACTTTGTCTGCTGATTCAATTAACTTTTAGAACACATTGTCTGTGGTTTTCTCACCGTGGTAGGAGCCGGTGCTGGGGCACGGCGAGTGCCGCAGGTAGTCGGGTGAGGTGGCGTGTGCCGCGCAGGTGCCAGAAGCCTCCGCCAGCCAGGCGCGTGGGTCACTGCCGCTGTCCACGAGCGTCAGTCCGGATTCGTAGCGGGGCTCCTCAAACCGCTGCTTCCCTCCCCTCTCCGCCACCCTGGGGCTGACACAGTCCTGCTGCAGTGCCTCCAGGGCTGCGACCTCGCGCGCGCCTTTGCTCCAACCAGTTAACGCATCCATGTTTTCAGAAACACCCCTCTTCCTCAGCTGCGTGAGCACAACTTTCTGAGGATGTGACGCTGCGGTGTGAGTGAGGCGGTCGCGTGCGGGACTCCTTCTCTGGTGTCTCAAGGCGCGTCGTCGGTTTATAAAGCGGCACGCGTCTGGAAGCCCCCCTCCTCGCGCTGGTCGCGTGTTCACGTCCAATGAGACGTCTCTGCAAAGCTCGAGAGAGTTGATTATGACTCCCCGAACTGTTTATGATATCATTACGATTTAGGGAGTGTTTAACTGGGAGAGTCAGCAGGGGGAACCTCCCACAGGACGCACGTGCGTGTCTTGATGGTTGTAGGTGCGTGCGCAGCGCGAGGAGGTGGAAGAGAATCCCCACCTGTCACTATTGATCTTATACATGGGAGGGGGTGGAGGAGTTCAAGGGTCAACCTGGCTCACTGTTCTATATACTGGATTAAATCAACAACAACAACAATAATAATAATAATAATAATAATAATAATAATAATAATAATAATAATAATAATAATAATAATAATAAATCATTTAAAAGCCGCTTGACTTGCTAAGCGTCTGTTTTGAAATTGCATTCATCATCATCATTTTAATAATTATTACTAGACTGTGATTAGCTAATTTTACAAATGAACTTTAACAGTTTCTGCAGCGGCTCTCCACCAGCCCCAAAAGTAAATATTCTGTGATTCCCGGGGCTCACGCGCGCTCATTGTCAATTCATCCTTTCAAGGATCATCTCCTGTTTCCATTTTTCCTTTGTGGTTGGTCTCGAGCCTTTTGATCCAGCTCTCGGAACGCCCTGTCGGCGAGAAAAGGGCTTCACGGGGAACGGAAACACGAGCCGAGCTCTCGCGCTCCGTACACGGTTTTCTTCTTCAGTGACACTAAACTGGAAGTGGCGCGCGGTGCTGTGGACAGTAGGCGCACGCCGAGCCTCCAAGTAAACAAACAAAAGTTTTACAAAAAGAAATGATTTAGTTTGGACACCACACGCGTTTGGAGGGAAGACAGAACAAGACGTCTAATGAGAGAATGACCTTTTTTCTGCTCTTCAAAGGAACTCCTGATAGCAGCTGACTTCAGATCAGGTGAACAATAGGCTAATTGGGTGGAAATTGGTCATTAAGCCTAATTGGTGGATTTAGAGCAAGAATGGCTGCGTGTTTAGGGTATAATCAAGTGGACACCGGTCTTTCCCCCTGTCGGTTACTAAGGAGCCGTATCTAATGAAAAGAAAAAGAAGTGGAGTGATGGAGGTCAAAGGTCAATGTTACAGCCGATTAGCACCACTTTTTTGGTTCCTAAACCCTCTAAATAAAACACTTATATAAAAGTTTTGTGAAAATAATGCCATTTGAGATCCCTGCAGCTCCAGTTCAGTCTTCTGTTTTTTATTCATGTATTCATCGTCAGGGTGGAGGGAGCTGGCGCCGAGCTTTTCGGCCCCCATCCAACGGGGGCTCCTGAAGCTACCGGCAGGTTGGATATTGTAGCTGGCGATTATTAAAGTGTCCCAGCCACAATGGGGACTCTATGTTCCATTGGTCACGCCTGGGGGGTGGGGGGTGGAGGGGCTTCTGGAGGGGAGAGGGGCGGGCTCCCATTCCAATGCGCAAGAGTCTGCGTGCTGCCCCCTCTCATAGCCGTTTCCCTGGAGACCGGGGCGCTGCGGCCACGAGTCTGGAGGGATGGGAGCTGCACGCAGAGGGACTTCATCAATAATCAATTAGCTCTGAATCCAGATGCGATTTAGTCAAGTTTCCAGTTGTGGGTTTAGAAAATATACGTTTAAGACGTCAACGTTTTATTTATATGGGGATCCAGAAAGCACAATATCTGCCCCTGACAACTATGTGACCATCATCATCATCATCATCATCATCATCATCATCATCATCATCATCATCATCATCATCATCATCATCATCATCACCTCCTTTCATTCTGAATGATTTGAACAGAAACGTGTGCTCCTTTAGAACCCCTTGAATTATTTTTTAGGCTTACAAATTAAATTACAATAAATTATTGTGATGTAGTTTCAATATTGTGCAGGACCAATCACAAAGTTCCAAGCTCTTATATTTTTCTATAGCTTACAATGGAGTAAATGAAATGATTCTAATAAAAACATAAAAGTCAGAATTAGTTGGGGGGAGATAAACAGTGCCACCACCTGGTGGTAAAAGGGTACTTCAGTGAAATGCTCCAGTGAACTTGATCTCAGTCTGCATATGATTCTCCACGTTTACCAAACAAACACATGTACAAAACACTAACCCTCAGCCATGGTTTTAACTGAAATGCTTTAGAGTATAAAAATCGCAGATCACTTATGAAACACAATGCAAATGATTGTATGTTTTCCTCTTTTTTCAATATTTTTTTCTCAATTCACAAAATCTAACACCCAAGTGTAATTCTTCACAATTGAATATGAAACTTTCACTAATTTTCAATGTTCTGGTTCAAAAAGGTCTAATCCTGGAATAACCACTAGTTTTTTACTTCAATAAACAAATCCAGTTAGACTTCTCACACAAAATATCGTAACATTTACTTTGGACCAAGCAGTTTAACCGGCTGTTTGCGTTGGCTTCCTGTATTTTATTTGAGAAATGTGGATATTGTGTTTTAAACGAGTAATTATGACGCAAACCTCTTAGGGAAAAATGTCATCTTAAACTATTAACGATAGTTTAAGATGACAGATGCTGGAAAACTGCATCTGCTGGAATTGTCACCATGTCATGCTAAAGAAAAACACAAGCATTGCTTTGAGTTTAAGAGATTTCTCTCTGCTCCTATCTAGTCTGGGATCTTCCTCTGGTATGAAATCTAAATTGTTTCATGATAGGAAATGAGAGGGCTTTAAATTACTCACTTTAAATTAGACATTTGTAAAACTCTCAATGCATGTTTACATCACCAGCCTATGGTGATATGCCGTCTCCAGAACTTAACACCCCCACCAAAAAAATAAATAAAAAAATAAAAAAATATACATATATATATATATATATATATATATATATATATATATATATATATATATATATGTGTGTGTGTGTGTGTGTGTGTGTGTGTGTGTGTGTATGCATTGGAAACTCTACTTTAACACATAATAAATAGATAAATAATTCAATATGGAAAAAAAGTTTATTTAAAATTGATCTCCCATGGTCCTAGTGACTCTAGAAAGTCAAATACATCTCTGATTCCTTCATCTTCCAGTCCTTAACCTAATTTTATTTAAAAAAAGAAAAAAAATGCAAATTCCCAAGGACATCATAAAACTTCATAATTATCATAGACTTGTCACTGAGTATTAATGGTTACATTTTAAAAACATCCTTTTTTTTCGTGTCCTGTCTGGCTGTGAAGTTAACAGAATTGATGTCTGAATGCTGGTGACAAGCCTTACAGATTTACTCTCAGGTGGAGCATCAAAGCTTCTGCTTTTAATGTCACGCCTGATACTTAAACCTTTATTGTTATTGTTTTTGAAAGCTTTGTAATTCTGACCAGACATGGAGACAGAGGTGAAAGAGAAAGGAAGAGACAAAAGGTGTGTGTGTGTGTGTGTGTGTGTGTGTGGGGGGGGGGGGGGGGGGGGTCCACAAAAATAAACAATAATGAACAAGAGTCTGCATCTAGACCTGCAGAAAGAGAAAGGAGAAAACAAATTTAAAAATGGGACACACAACAATACAACAAGAGCAAGCTATCACTGCGTCAACTTGAAGAAATATAAAATCAACATTGTTTAACTGAGCAATCATACGATAATAAATCACAGTGCATTTAGTGGCAACGACAGCCTTAAGACGTGTTGAACGAGCCCTAGCCCATACTTATGGGAGCACCATGTGAGCACCTGTGTGCGTACACGTGCTTGTTTATGTAAGGTTTCTCTATAGGAGCGTTGTCATGCTGACCTGGCAGAGGTCAACTGTCTCCTCCTCATGCTGACTCTGCTGCACAGTGTCTGCACATGAGCTGTGCATGCAATCTTCACACTGGCCAGAGGGGGCTTGTGAACTCTGGTGTGTGCTCCTCCAGATGAGCCAAATCAGGAAATCAAGAGCTCACCACTAGTGGCTTCTTCATGCATGCAGCAGTCATTCAACCAGTGTGTGTGACAAAACTGACGTGGCAAGCAAACAATTCAGCTGTGAGGAGGACTTTGATCTTGACAGGCTATCGGTAAGCTCTTGGGGTGATTCACATAGACTTGTTTCTGAGCCAAGTTTTGTGGCAAACAAATGTGTTGGGAGGAAGTTTGTGTTCTTTCTTTATCAGAATTTGTTTAGTTAAAAATAAATGGGTTTCCATCCCAATTTATGGAAATTTAATATTTAAACGTGGTAACCCAAGATCCTGAAATTAGTGAATATATTTAGTTAAAATGTAAATACAATTCTTTGAGAAAATCCTTCGTTAAAACCTTAAATAAAATGTTTAAGAAGCACAGGTTAAATACTGAAAATTTAACAGTGAAAGTAAAAATTTAAAAGGTAGTAAAAGCTGAGAAAAAAAAACCTTCTTGTTTAATTTTGTTTAATTTAAAGACCAGAATGTTTAATCTTTTATTTCATTGTGCAATTACCCACTTCTGGGATTAGCAACTAACATGGTTGAAGTATGCTTTTACTTAGAACTTAAGTACTCACCTTCTATTTAAATTACAAATGTTGGTTGAAATGCTGTTAGTTTGTTACCTGTAAAATGCATTTAGGTTGTCTTTAAAAAGTTTTATTTTTTTATTTAAAGGTTTTCACCTGATACTGATACTGATGATCCTGAAACTGGTCAAATAAAGACATATCTGAGTGAAGCCAAAGTCTAGTCTTTTCAAGTGTAGACGCCTCACAGAAAGAAGAAACACTTGACAAGCGTCCAATAGAGTGTGATGGACCACAGATCTGCCCCCCAAAGATGTGCAGGAGACGGAGGTAGCTCCAAGTCACAGAGATCTAGGTGCTGCCCTAGAATACAGGAACCCCAAGGAGACTGCAACCAGAAAGGCCCCTGCCCCCCTCAAGAGGCGCAGAGGATCGCCCAGGGGGGGGCCACAACCAGCAGCAGGCAGAGTCCCGGGAGATCTCAGCGGCAAGCCCACAGGCCCGCCCGCAGCCTCCCACCCCCTAGCCCAGGGGTCGGCAACCTGTTCCCATCAAAGAGCCATTATTACCCGTTTCCCACAGTAAAGAAAACACTGGGAGCAACAGCAGCCACGGCGTTGTGGGTGGGGCCTACCCTCAGACAGCAGAGAGCTGCTCACA